TGATACCTGGTGGGTTACGGCGGATTGCTCACGCAAGCACTCGGGTATGCCACGGTGAGCGCATCACTTGACAGTTAGTTTTTTGAAAGCAGTTTGATGGGAAGATTATTATCGGATCGGGATTAGGAGTTTTGGTGAAACCTCAGAGAAACGTCCCGATTGCTGCTTTGTGTTTGGTAATACCGCTTAAGTAAGGTTGCTTTTGGATAATTTGTCGGACTCGACGTGTCTCAGTGCGGGCAGGGTGCTCTCCCGTGCCTGTGGTGGTGTGTATGAATGCTTTTCCCAGAGGGGAGCCACAAGGAGCGAGAGGGAAAGAGTCCTTGGCTGAGCGTCATCAGCAGTGGCCTGGAAGACAGCACTACACAGCGACACTTCGGGCAACCTGTGCAGCTGGTCACCCTCAGGTCGCTTCTCCCGCCGGCGGACGAGCTGTTGTGACCGGCGCCAGAGCGGAAGAGGGAGCGGCGCTCCTTTAATCTTCAAACAAGTAACCGAACGACCGGCTGCCTACTGTTAGGACCGGCGCCAGGTCTGACAATGGATCGGCGTTCCTTTTGATGTTCCTTTTTAGTCGCCAAACGGGCTGGCGGCCTGTGTCCGCCATGTATTGTTCCCCCCTGGCCGGAGGGTGCGGCGTCTTGCCGCCGCGACACCGTGAGCAGTTCGGGAGACCACAAGTGCCGCTTCTTCTTTGGAAGATGACGGCGGCGGCGGCGGCCGGAAATCGTCCCGCTAATTGAACGAGTCGTTCGGCGACCATTTGAAGCTTGTTTACGGCGGCCCTTTCGATGGATGCAGTCATCAACTTCAGACCCCTCGCCCAGCGACACCCCTTGACGAGGAGGAGCCACGTTCGTGCCACATGGCCGTGCAGTGACCACGCTTCAATTTTGAACGTTCACGTGGACCGTGCGTGCTCGTCATCCTCGCGGGTAATGTGTGATCCGTGGTTGGACGGTGCCCTCTGTACGCGGTCCCCGATCTAGGGATCTGGGGAGGACAGACCCTTTATAATGAGCCCCCGCGGCTCATTCGTGTGTGTTTTTTTTTCGAGAGCAGAACCGAGCAGAACCATGTAGAACCAAGCACCATGTAGCGCTATGTTAGGAGACATGTAGAGGCCTGCCACGTTTGAGAGCTCACCGTGTAGGGAGTTCGCAATGTACATATTGTAAATAAACCCTCTTCAAGTCTCTCTTCCTCCTGCCTCGACAACTTCATCCCGGACCTCCGGTGTCTGGAAACCCCGGTCGCAACACCCCGCGGCTCACACCAGTAGAAAACCCTCTCCAAAACAAAGGCGAGCAAGTAACAATGTGCAAACTCAAGCCTCAGAGAGAGAGATGGGCGAGCTGTCCCAAGACACTTTAATTACGCGCGAACAATGGTACCGATGCTTCCGACAAAGTGTGTCGTCTGTAATGGCCAACGTCCGGAGTTTGCAGTGTTGTGCCGAAAAGTTTTCGGCCGAACCGATTGCCCCGGTTTCTGGTACTTGACGAGCTGATGTCCAGAACAAGTCTCGACGTCTCCATGCAGCTCGGTGTCTCCCGCGAAATTCTCCGTAGCCGCCGCTTCTTCGTCATTCAACGCCGCGGGTGGTCATCCTCGCAGAACTCAGTAATGAGCCCTGGAGCCGCGGAGGCTGACGAAAAGTCAGGTCGGACCCCGCACAGGCGCTGCGGCAGGGTCGCATTCACCGAACCAACAAAAGGTGCTCTGCTGCTCCCCCATGCCACAAATCTGAAGGGTGCGCGCGGATTACCTCCACCTTACACTGTCACACTGTCGGTAGACGACAAGGCACCGCCCGGTCCTCGTGTTTGCGCGGGGGACCCGCGAAAACAGTAGAAATAATCCTTCCAGGTACTCCGCTCCGGAATGCCCATTCGTTACACCGAAGGTTTTCTTTTCATTTTTTTTTTTTTTTTTGCGTAGGTTTAAGAAACGAGCGAAAACATCTTGAAAGGACCGGGGTTCAGTCCGTGTTTGCGGGGACGTCACAGCAACGCCAGCGACCAGATCCGCTGCTTCCTCAGTGCTCGCAACATTAGTGCATAGCTGCATTTCTCTTTCTCTCTCTCTTTGCCAGCACGCGACGCCATACTACGACGCGCGCCTTCGAAATTCTCGAACCGTAAAGGTTAGCGCACACCGGAGACTAGCAGCGGCCGCGCGACCGTTTGCGACTAACGACCAAATTGCCAGTGACGTTCACACCGGAAAGGCTGCAAACCCGAATAGTCACGTCCGGAGCTCGTTATCAGCGAGAACTCGGATACTGGCGCCGATCAGCTGGTCGCCGCCAGCTGAGCGAGCGGAGCGAATCGAGCGAGCCGCGCTGTTTTCGTCCGTTCTCACACATCGAACTCCTTGACGCTGCTGATGAGTTCGATTCAAGCGAAGAACAAGAGACTGTCATGGCATTGATGTACTATGCCATGGTGTCAGCGCTGGCCGCACATAATCCTCCAAAGAAAAAAAAGTTCGCGGTAGGTGTGACCGTCCCTTCGCTCGCGAGAGTTGGCCGGCCATGTAAGCCGCCTACCTATGTAACTCTATGGCCTACCTCTTGCAAGCGGCGCTGAGACGACGAGGAGTATTTCCGAGAGTGGTGTACGTATTCAGAAACGGTCCTTGAATTTAACTTGACTTGCCACCGCCTACAATGCAGCACAAACGCGTCTCGAACGCAGTGTCCTTAGTCGGTGTTAAGCCAGGTTAAGCCATGAAGCGCAAGCGCGTTCCAAACGCGCTGCATTGAAGGCGGTCACAAGTGAAGTGCAAGACAAAAAACGATTCTGAATACGAGAGAAAGATAGTGCACAATCCACTTTCTCTTTACTTTGACGGTGTTTAGCTTCTTGCGAATGCCGTCACGTAAATTCGACACTTTGCTCGAGCTGCTGCGTTCCGCCATCTCCAAGCCAAGCATTCCGCGGTGGCCATGGTGCCACATACCCAGAGGAACGCACTCGTTTGTATCTGGCGGCAGGAAGCCAGCGCAATGAAAAAACAAACAAAATGAGCCTGCATAAAAAAAAATGCTGGTGTCACTTCTGGGCATCGCTGATTGATTCAAGCAGCTTTGGGACTGCAGTCGCGCGACTGAAAAATCTATCAGGAAGCGACTAGCCAAGGCAGTCAGTCGCTTTACGACCGTTCCCCACTGTTTACGACCGTTCCCCAAATAGTCGTGCGACCGCTGCTATTCACCGGTGTGAACCAACCATAAGTGCGAGTACGGCACATTCCCATCACGAATAGTCCAGCTAGCGGTGCGCCACGGTTTCTCTTCATGAAAATGAAAAACAACGGGACAGTTTATCTCGACTGTTGGCGCGGCCTTTTCACGCACGTATGAATCGCACAGAGTTAAATAATAGGTTCAGACTTTACAACTACATTATGCTGCAGGAAAGATCAAAAACTAACACATCGTACAAGGGTATCAGTGCGTGCTTTGAAGTAACATTGCCAATTTGGAGACATTAACTTTATGGCCTTGAGCGGTATTCCGAATATTCAAGCTGTACTAGCTGTTTAATGCATACAAGCTCGGAACACAAATTTCGTTAAAATTCGTTCGACAGTTGTGTAGTGAGAAAATTTCCGCGTTTTACATGAACCTGAATAAAAAATTCAGGAAAAACCACGCGGAACGGACACCATGGAGCAGATGCGAAGCTCAGTCGAGAATGGAAGAGGTTTCGGTGCGCTAATAAAACTACGAAATTCGCAGACTTTTTTTTTTTCCCCCACCCAACGCCCGTATCTCTGAACGCCTACAGAGTAAATCTGAGATTACTTGGAGAAGCTTCGATCCAATGGTGGAAGAAAAACAAAAAAAGTAGGTTATAAAAGAGTAGATTGATGCTATCGATTTGTTTCCATCACAAAAAAAACAAACACCACAGTCCCCGCAATGACCGCTGTAAGGAGCATGACCTCCTACACAGTAAAACAGACCTCCGAAGGCTAGAAGACGCTCAACTGTGTAACGAAGCATGATTCTACATTTTTTTTAACTTCTTATCAGTCATCCCGCGAGGCAAAAACATGGCGTCCTTGAGCAATGATGAAAAAAATCGCAGGTGTGGTCTTGCGTTGCCACAAGGACAATGAAGTATTACGCGCGGGCGGGCAGTGCCCTTCGCCAGCTGTTCCTTCTGGGCGAATCTGTGCACACCGTTCGGAAAGCTGTATACTAGAGTTACTGTATGCTAACGTACGGTGCGCGCGAAAGCAATTTCAGAAACGGGTAGAGAAATAAAACCGTAACCTACCATTGACAAATAGGCGAACAGAAGAGTACGGCATCGTATAAACATATTCGGCTCACGGCAGTAAGATCGCCGACACGTTCAGCGATACGAATAAAACTTAGAGCCAACAAAAAAAAAAAAAACACGTACGGAGCGGTTCTATGTCCATCCTTACGTGTGAAAGCACTACCAAAATTACCGTCAACTAGTGACCATCAAAGCAGCGTTGAAGTAAAGGTCCACAGAAAAGCTGAAACGACGCCCCAATGAAATGCAGTCACCAATTGCACACAACCTCCGCGAATGGGTTGAGTTATAAGCTGTGTAAATGGTAGAGGCTCGTGCAGTGTGCGATTTTCGGTGCTCGTTAAAGAAACACCAGAAGGTCGAAATTGCCGCAGCCCTTCACTACGGCTAGCTCTGACAATCACATCGTGGTTTTGGGGACGTTAAACACCACCGCGCGTGCATGGTAAAAGCAAAGGAAAAAACTAACCAAAGGGTTAACAGAATCTTACGAACAAAGCGTTAAGACGGGATTTGTAAAAATTTTTCTTGCACGGGCAAACTTGCACTTACGCAATTTTCCTTGCACGTATACGCAAACAAGTGCACCGGTGCATTTTGCTGCAGCGTGTGCTGCGGAAACGCGCACAGTCCGAGGATGGCGAAGGGAACGCGCACTGCTGCGAGGGTCTGACGCCGGGACCACACGGGGTTAGGGATCTTTACCTGCAACCGACGGCCCAGGCTTCCCGGGGAGCTCGTTCCTGGCTCCGGCAGCGGGCGGCCGTCGGCGAGGCCACCTCGGGCCGCCTGCGGTACAGGGCATCGACGGAGCCGCAGCGCACTCCCGCACGACCCACGCCGTCCGCCCGGAGGGAGGCGAACACTGCGCGGCCGCGGTGTTGCTGCTGCTGGCGTCGCAGAATGGGCATTGCAGGGGGTCGCCGTCCGAAGTCGGCACGAGCGCGTCTCGGCGCCTCGGCCATTGCGTCGTCTTTTGTCGATCCCGCGACCGACAGAGCGGTTATTCTTGGGGCCGACCGCAGCCCACGGGCCAGAACGGGGGTGAGCGAAGGTGCGCGCACTGCGAGGCCGGCGCGCGCTTGCTGAAGTCCTTGGTGACCTACGCGAGAAGGCTACGCCCCTGACTGCATGAAATATCAACGCTTTCCGGTCGCCGAGAAGAACAGAGAGAGAGAAACCGCCTCCGAAAGACACGCCACTCATGAGTTGAGCGAGTATACGCTCCGCAAGTGTATACGGTCCCGTTAACAGACAGACGCACATGCCATAATCACGCAAACGATGATAGCAGAGGGACGTGACCAAAAAAAAGGGGGGGGGGGGGGGTGGATTGCAAGGTAAACCCGGCTATCAGACTCGCACATACATCAATGTGTGGGGCTTTTTTACGTGCCAAAACCACAATATGACTGATGAACCGGAGAGGGCTCCGAAAATTTCGTCCATCTGGTATTCTTTCAACATGCACCGAAATCGCACACTTGATGGGCCTCCGGTCTTTCTCCAGCACCAAAATGCGACCGCCACGGCCGGGGTCGTCCCCGCGACCTTCGAGTAGATGCACAATCTTGAAAAAACGATGACGTCACGCGCAACTACTTAATCTCGATGACAAATTTCGCAGTGTGTGATACCCGATGTGAAAATGTTTTCGTCGGTGAAAGTTTCGCAAATAGTTCGGGCAGTGGCATCGTTCTCAATGCTTGCACCACTCTTATGTGCCGCCAGTCCAACCTTCAAAAAAACGTGGCAGACGCTCGCACCGACACACAACCCCCGAGCGACACCCAGACTTAGGTGTTTTAAGCGAGGCAGGTATATATACAGTGGAAGAAGCAAAAGTGCAGAATACACGGTTTCAAGGTCTCCCAGGCACTCCCACTCACTTTAGAGCGAGGACCACGGCCGAAGGCAAAAAAAAAAAAGGGAGGGGGGGGGGTGACACGTTACGTATGTAGGTTGCGGCATTGCGTGCATTATGCATGGCTAAGCAGGCGGCTCGAAAGGCGATCCTCGGCACTTGCAACACACACGCGACGGGGCGCCCGCAGCGTTTGAGATTCGTTCGCCAGCGCACTGCCTAATGGTCCCTGCCAAGCCATAGTTCCGCTCTCACGACTGAGAGGTTCGGCGTACAGAAAGATGAAGCCATGGCCCATTTAAAACTCCACCAACGATGGCGCATGCGCCGACTTATGTGTAATCAGAGACCATTACGCGCCAACTACGCGTTTCTTTATTATTATTATTATTATTCCCGCGTACAATAAATTAGTACATTGTGAGCTTTGCAAAGTGTGTAACGAATGCGGGAACATTATCTTGAAAAAGTGCTTGGATAAAGACAACCAAAACACCAGTCCACCGCAAGCAAGCGCTGGAAAAGCATTTGACCTATTCCTCGTTCTGTGCGTACATAATGTCGATTAAGTGTAAGCCTCTTGCGCGACTTACACAAACTTGCTGCCGGCTGCTGGATAAAAAAAAAAAAAGAATGCACAGCTTCGCACGCAAGGCGAAACTACGAGCGCTCCTTGACACGCATTCCTCTGATGTCGCAGAGTAGCGCGCGCTGGGTGCGCAGAATCTCATCGCAGTTCGACTTAACACGGAACATCACAGCAACGAAAGATGTTCGCTGGGCGCGTTTATATTAAAAGATTTAGACAAGAAACTAATAAAAACGACACAGCGAGAGGGAAAGAGTGACAGTCGGGGTGAGGTTGCCCCATCTCTCTCTCCTCCTCCCCTGCGAGTGGTTCTTAATAAAGAGAAAGGAAGGGAAAAGTGAGCCCCGTTATTGTCTGCTTCAGTGAGCGACACCGCCACAGGGCTCACAAGGGATGGGGGTGAGGAGGGATAAAAAGGGTAGAAGTAAAGGTATCCTCCTCCTCTCACACACACACAGACGACGTTCGTCTTGGAAGGTGCAAGCCCGTACGGCAAAGTGACTGGACGAGCGTTGGCGTAGCTCGGGGCAGTGGATGGACACTGTAGCTCGGGTGCGGAACAAGTGCTGATGTCGCTTGCACACCAGAAGCATTGCTGGGCGCACCGTCCGTATTGGAATGTTTGCCTGCCTTCTGTCTCTTTACGGTTGAAGTCTAGATACGGAAGGGGGGGGGGGGGGGGGCTGCAAGTAATGCTGCTTTTTGCAAAAGCTTTGGGCCAATCTTGATGCGTTCACTTCGCTTAGCCTTCTTGCGTTACGCGTGGCACGGCGACTTAAATCAAATCCAAGGTAAAATGCTAAAAAAATCCTCCCGTCTTTATCATTCCTTCCCGGATGCGAAGGTATACGCAAAGCCCTACGTCCCCGACAATGAAATTTGAAGGGAAAATATCAGGGAAGAAATGAAGAAATGAACATGCTGTCAAATTTCTCTAAGAAGCCTCTCTTCAAAAAGGCAACGAACTGGGCTACTCCTCCCAGCTTCACTGAAACAGAACTGAGTAATATCCTTGAAACATCGGATGCAACAACAGCATGCCGACACAGTCAGAAATCTAGCGCGTCGTTTTCCTTTCATTTATCAATGCTGGTTAACTCTGATGTATTACATCTCCGCAAGCAAATAGTTGGTGAGCATGTTTTTTTTTTTTTTAAGCGTTCGAGCAGCTGCGGAGCGTCCGTGAAACGTGTGCTTGTTTGTAACACTTGAAATAGCTTCAATTTAACACAAAGAAACTGCGCAATTCGCGCACTATGCTATTCATGCTCGTCAGTCTTGAGAATAGATGGAATGCTTACATTCAAATAAACGACAAGGCAACTGCATTCGATACCTGTCGGTCAAATGGCTGCCTACGAAGCACCTATTGTCCGGGAAGAGGATGAATTAGTGCCTTTTCTTTAAACCTGTGGCATCTGCCTAAACGTACAGCCATGAACAAAAAAAATATGGCACCACAGCTTAACACCCAGGCCTGCCACTATTACGTCAATTCAGTCGAGTAGTAACCGAAAGAGTTACTGCATTAGAGAGCTACTTAACCGACCAGACTGTGCATGGGCCATTCAGTGGTGCGCAACATCTGATCACGCCTAACAAATGAAGGAAGCAACACTGAAGGCCTTCCGAGATGATCTTGTCATTGCCATCGATCTTAGGTGGTCTTGCTCTCTTGAGATGATGCGCACTTGCTACCTTCCAGTCTGGAACGCAAAACCATTTCCACGATACCGTTTTCTTTACATATATACACACTATCGAGCGAAGGAATACCACTGAGTTCCTCTAAACAAAACTTCACAGCACTGCTGACTGGGCGAGTTGGAGCATAACAAAATGATATTTTTTGCTTTAGCGCAGCTAAGTCTGAGCGTGAAGAAAATGGGCGCTTCTTGACCGTATCTTTTCTTCGCGCTCAAACTGATCAGCGATAAGGCAATACCATATTAAAATAGGTGACCGGTAATATGGGCAATCGCAGGGAGCTGTGGGATGCTTCCGGTTCGACGCACCACGCGGGGTGGCAGTGGCACGCGCGCTTTTTGTACCGCTCCGTTGAAAAAAACAAAAAAACACCTCCGCGCGATGTCAGCGCTTTAGAAGTTGGTTTTTTGTTTTTGCTAACCATGACTGTGACGATGACAAGCTACGAAAGCCATGAAGGAAACTTTTTATCGCACTAAAATGATCTGCTATGCTTTTATGCTGCTCGGGGGTACTGTCAGTTTGGCTAGCAGATAAGTCGATACACAAAACAGTTTTCATTGTATGATCATCAGCCTGACTACGTCCACTGCAGGACAAAGGCCTCTCCCATGTTCCGCCAGTTAACCAGGTCCTGCGCTTGCTGCTGCCAATTTATACCCGCAAACTTCTTAATCTCATCTGCCCATCAAACCTTCTGTCTCCCCCTAACCCGCTTGCCTTCTCTCGAAATCCAGTCAGTTACCCTTAACGACCAGCGGTTATCCTGTCTACGCGCTACATGCCCGGCCCATGTCCATTTCCTCTTCTTGATTTCAACTATGATATCCTTCACCCCCGTTTGTTCATTGTATGATACGTTAGTGCACATAAAAAATCCCCATTTTTAAAGATCTCAAGGCATGGCGATGACTGTAGCGCAGTGTGCTAAGAGTTCATTTCGGGATCGCTGCTTCGGCCGACATCGTCGGTCGATCGACATCAAGCGCAGCACTTATTGAGTGCGCTGAGATGTGTTTTTTTTTTTTTCCTCGCCTTCAGTGCGGTATAAGATGCATTTCTTAGTCAAAGTCAGATGCTTATTTGAACGCTGATCTTGATCAAACTTAGCGGCACGGCGGCACATAAACAGTACAGTCAGACATAGACAACGCCGAGAAATCGAAACTCTGCGCTTGTTTAACGCACTTATTCTTTTGGGTGCCGTCCTGGCGCAAAGTTTGACCACGATAAATGCAAATGGACCCGTCCAGCGCTTCGTGTTTTTTGTCATATATATATGGGTGCAATGACCGGCGCTCATCTTGTATGGCAGGTAGATTTCACCCGCGTGTTCCCATAATATTTTTGCAAGGCGCGTCTGCGCGACAATTTATTTCTCAATATAATATTCGGAGCAAATTCGTGTGTAAGCTTTTTTTAGAGTGGAATACACACGCATCTGTGATAAAATGGTTTTCGCGCACTCTGGCTTCAACGTTCCGTACTCAAAGGCCACCTGTCGCTGTGGCTCTTTTCACATCCACGGCACACCTCAATTTTCTTTCTTCGTGAGTTGGAGCAGTCAACAGCTGAACTACCGATCACGGTTTATCAGGACGAAGATAAACGGGCGACCGCGCGCGCGAATCCCGAATAACCCGAGGCTTGCGGCGAAGCGGTTCACCGTCGTCTATTCTTCTCGAACCGGAAGTCGGTAGCAGACGGTGCATCCCACAATCCCTCGCTCTTTTACTGGTCACCTATTTCACAGAGAGACTTCAACTTGTAGCCCTGTAGTCTGATGAATCCCATGTAACCACCCTAGCGTGCACATATTT